TATATATATATATAGGTTAGGAGATTCGCTTTTTACAAGCACGAATGGCTAATCGATTGTCCGGTGAACCAAGTTGTTTGCATCGGATGTTCATGAAATGATAAAATATATATACCCTTATCATTTTAATATGCCTTGAATAACTCTGTGTTCACGCGATGGTTTCTTGAAGATAGGTAGATAGCTGAAGACACATGCATGTATGGCAGCCGACCAAACATTGCATGATATTTTCGCAATTTGCCTTGCTGATTTATTTTTATCATTGGAATCCGGTCCAATTGTGACAGTGTTCATCAGGGCTTTCTTCTAACAGATCTGTTTGTCAGATGGTAGACAGCTACAGTTCCAAGGGTCTTCAGTCGTTGATTGTTTTCGTTTATCGATTATCTCCGCGCAAAAGTCTACAAGACATGTTTCAGTTGACCCGCTAGTCAGTTACATCTCGGTTTCGTTCATTCTGGACCATTTGACTGCATATTAGCATATGTTCTGTGATTTTAAGGTTCGGTAACCTCATATCATTTGCATTGCAGGTATTATTTGGATTGGCAACCGTTAAAGGTGAATTGATTGCTTTGCCTGAACTTGACGTTTGTTTTTTGTCGATCGTCTGTTTNCGTCTGTTTCAGCCAATGTGTTTCTTCCGTTTTCGGTCGGTTGGGATTGACTTTGATCCTAACTTCACATCTGTTTCATCCCTTCTCAGGGTCAATTGCTACGATGTGTTTGATGCGGGTGCCCCATTTGGTGGTTTCAAGATGTCTGGTATTGGACGAGAATTAGGCGAATATGGTCTGCAGATTTACACCGAAGTGAAGACAGTAAGTTTTAAACTCTTTTTGACTGGTAACCCGATTTGTCTGGGTTCCACTCGAGATAATATTATTTCTGTGCTACTTAAACTTGCGTTTGGACAATTCGGCTGTTATCTTCAGATGCTGTCCATGCAGTTGCTCACTTTATGTTTATATTCGTGACAAACTCCAAATGTGACCTGTCATCAAATCTACCTTCTAAACCTGTGTATATAAGTTCATTGCATTCAATTTGTATTCGTTACGGGTTGGTGAATCACTAGGAATCCGAACTCTTATTGAGGAAGCTGGTCACGGTTTCATTTAAAGAAAATAATTGGAAGATAGCTGGTTGCGCAAAACAGAGAACCGATTATTCCTCCCGCATTTTGGTGTAGTCCCCTAGCCAGATGACCTATACCCTTCGACCTATCGGGACATGACTATGGACCTTCCGCTCTTTGCGTCACAGTAGTGCANAAGCCATAACACTATGTGCATGTTTTCTCATGTTCGTATGCTTGAAAATTGTGTATGTACTGCAAGACTGTTGACTACAGTGGTGCACTTTCGTTTCCATTCTCTCGAAATAGGCTCACTCCCTATCCTCCTTACGCGTTTCCTACGTGATACACACTGTGAGGCTGTCAGTGATCATCGAAGTTCGCTTTTCTCTACTTCACTGTACGATAATAATGATGATTGGAAAATGGTTTTCAACAAAGTATCGTTTGAAACACATCCTACTATGACCATCTTTGACGTCCAGCTTGTTTTATTATCAAGACATTTGATGAGTCTCGCGCAAGCAAGTATTGTGTGAATGTGGTTTTGCAAGCTGTGATTCGATAGCCCACCCGTTGCGTGTTTTACCATAAAGAAAGCTATTCGAACTTTCGCTAGATAATTCGACTATCCACTTTTCTTTGAGGATTGTCAGTTGTGATACTATATTCGGTCAAATAGTATTCCGAACTGTCAGGAAGTTATCATCAGAAGTGCGCTAGGGAAGATCAAGTTTGCTCCTGTGCACCTCATCCTGAGTGAGGTGAGTGGTTGAGGGAACCTTGCTGAACTTGTTTCATTACTGAAAACCTTGTTATCCCAGTCTGCCTTCTATCTGATCCCATTGATTCGATCTACAATAAGAAGTTCATTCATTTAACTCAACGGTCTCAGTTTTTAAGTGCTGCTGCCTGTGGCACTTACAGGGCAAGGCGAACACCAAAACATCAACCGTTTGGACCTCCAAAACTTTAGTAAATTTGTTAGTTGGTTGGATGTATAGAATAGAATTTACCCTTCAACGATCGCAGAGATTTTTCTTCGTATTTTACGTTCCCGCTTAGATGCATATCATCTGGGATCCTTGAAAATCTCCACACAGCTTTCGTTGGTTTGATTTTCCCCAACAGTCTTGCTTATAACCATTTTTCAATCGTTGTCGTCAAGAATTTCCCACAGTTCGAACACAACCAAGTACGTAGTGAGTAGACGAGACAGAAACACAGCAAACTGTATGATCCCAAATCCAAATCAAGTCCTATATCACAGATGAAACTGCTAAAGCCGGGTGTGCAGTGAAAGCCTTTCGTGCACTATTGTTATGAGAGCCATTAGCTTGTCCTTCCTAAATCTGACGACAACTCGATTAAGAACAACGAAGAGGAGAAAAATCAATGTAGGGAGAAATGTTCCGAAATATCGCGATCCTTCTGAAAAAGCAAGCGGTGATAAAAACAGTGAATTAGAGACAGAGAGCTGGACGCAAGCGGTTAGTCAGATGGTTGAGGATTGATTGTTTGGGAATAGTGTTGACGACATGTACATATATATATATATATATATATATATATATATCAATTACGCCAATACCCGATTAGAAAAACAAGGCCACTCACTGGTTGCGGATCAGTTGCCCATTGACAACTACACCTATGCATTTGGCTGCAAGTGCAGCGTGATCAAAGCGAGATATGGAATGGAGTCGACATCGGCCGCTTTCGCTGTTCTGGCAAAGGGTTCGATCACTTTTCGCATCGGTCCCGCACTAACTGAAATTGATCCGGAAGAAAAATGCCCAAGAAAAGCATTATGATTGTTATGATCTCGCTGCCGCACTCGTGCGAGCTTATGTTAAGATCGGGATGACGCCTTCACTGTTCTAGTGTTAACTGTCACGTACACAAGTGATTTCCCTGTTTTTATGAAGTGAGTGAAAAATTCTCCGTGTTATGTGTCATTTTCCGTTGTTATTAAGAAAGACACTTCTTGTATTCTTCATTTGACCAGGTTACCATGCGTGTCGGTCAGAAGCATTCTTGAGTATCCCAATTGGCTGAATCCATGATCACCTTCCGGATCGATGCTCTAATCACGTTGTCGCCTTTGGAGTCGCTACAAATTCATCTCGATGTTCCTTGCGTGGTTTTTGATTGTATCATGCGTTGAATAAACTACCATTTTCTGTGACACCGTATGCTAAGCAAATACACCTATTCATCTATCGAGTAACATTAATTACATTTCCAAGGCATGATTCACTTTTTCATGCATTACATTTCCGACCGCTCGTGGAATGGTTCTGTCTCCTATATACATAATGTTCTGAGTTTTACGGAATAAATTGTGACTCGATAACAAACGTACATGTATATTTACACCAAAAATGCTTTCCTAGATGTGTATGCGAAATTGTATTTTATGAATCGCTCACTTTGGTAGATATCAAAGAAGCTGCTGTATGACGATGACGAATTCATAACCTGAATTCGCTGATGGAGTTGGAAAAATGTGCTCCGCGAACCTTGAATAAACCTGACATTTTTCTACTACCTCTTTTACGTGTGGGCAGCAATCTATTTTGACTGGCCAACTAGCAGTGCATGTTGCGTTGTAGTAGTTGCTATTCCGTGCAGCCGAGAGCCACCAATTTGAGCCTCCATAATTTTGACGCTGCACTTTCTCACACCTTATTCTGGGCGATTTCAACGCCCCGAATATCGACTGGCCCAGATGCCACTCCAGAGATAGAATTTTTGGCGCACCCCTTATATACCTCGTCAACGAACACTCGTGGTTCCAACGCGTAGTATCTCCCACGAGATATCTTGTCGGCCAACGTCCCTCTTTGCTTTATCTTGCGATTACCAACGAACGACGCCAGATGGACATGATCTCTTACCTAAGTCCTTTTGGTAAAACCGATCACCTCCTGCTTTCCTTTGAATATATTATCCGCTGGCCAACTTGCATGCCCTCTTCCAGAATGCTACGTTCCTTCAAAAATGCCGATTTTGTTCTCTTACGAGAGGTCCTGGCCAACAGGCTGGGCTCCTGCAATATTGATACTGACCCGAACAATCTAAATGAGTTGCTCGAGAGTCTAATTCACGAGGTGGACAACCTAGATTTCAATCTGTATCTGACCATAGGCATCCCCTACCCCGCTCCATGCGACACCCAATTGACGAGCGGGCCCGTTCATTTGATAGATTAAAATGTACTGGGCTCGACGCCAATGCTGTCGAGTTCAAGCAAATCCACAACTTATGTAAGCAGAGAGTCAGGGAATTCGACAATAGACAAAGGAAAGCAATTCTTCGTGCTACAAGTAACCCCAATTCCTTATTTAAGTCACTCCGCCATAAAAGGCAACCAACCTCGATACTAGCCCTCAAGCTACCTGATGGCTCTCCTGTAACCTCCTCTACTCAGGTAGCAGAGATCTTCCGGTCTCATTATGAATCCTCTTTTAATTTTCCTGCTGTCTCTTCCCATCCCAATCTTCCTTCTCTTAATGCACCACCTCCATTAGAACATTTCCTCATTCTTCCAAGGGAGACCGCATCACTCCTCAAACCCCTGAATCCCTTTAGTTCAATGGGACCAGATGGCATACACCCTCGAGTGTTAAAAGAAGCCGCCTCGGTTCTTGCCCCGTACTATTCCACCCTCTTGTAGATGTTGGAATATTCCCTTCATCTTGGAAAAGAAACATCATATCCCCCTAATTTAAAATTGGGATCGACACACTCCAAGTAGTTATAGACCCATCAGCATGGCTAGCGTGCCCAGTAAGGTCTTTGAACGGGTCTTAAAAAGGGAAATTCTAAAACACTTACCAGACAATCAACTTCTTTCTCAAACCCAACACGGCTTTATCCCCGGCAGATCCTGCATCTCCAATATTCTATCTGTCATGGACAGTCTAACACAAGCCCATGATGACGGCTTGGTTCCTCACGCAATCTTCATTAATTTTGCAAAAGCTTTCGATCGTGTACCCCATGCTCCTTTACTCTATAAGCTCGAGTCATATGGCCTCAGTGGCAGACTCCTCGCCCTTCTTCGGGATTTTCTCTCGAACCGCACCTCGGTTCGCGTAAGTTCACCGCTCTCATCTGACTCTTTCATTTATACCGGAGTCCCGCAAGGTGCGGTCCTTGCCCCCCTCCTCTTCCTTTTATATATTAATGACCTGCCACACATGATCGGAGTCAACATAGCGATGTACGTTGATAATGTGACAATTTAGGGCACCGACCCGGTGGCTGTTCAGTCATCAATGGATGCAGTCGAAAACTGGTCTACTGCCTGGAACCTACCAATAACCGTCGACAAATGCGTTAGTATGTCGTTTAGAAGGGTCCCCATACATAGCTTCCGGCCTAACGCTTCCATGAATATGGAGAGTGTAGGACACCACATGGTCTTTGGTTTCTGGTTGACCATGTCACTTTCGTTCTCTTACCACCAACAAAAAGCCAGTAGATCCGCCTTCGGTGTTCTTAACTTCCTAAGACGTTCTTTTCTCAGAATAGATAGAGATGACTTTCAACTTCTATATGACGCCTACGTCCGACCCTCATTGGAATACGGGAGTCAAATTGCTCCCTCCTGGTGTGCGATTGTACGGGCGACAAAACTTGTGCATGGCTTGTCCTCTATCCCTTATCCTACACGCCTTACCATCTTGAACCTGTACCCCTTGAAAGCCGCCGGATAAGAGGTGACATCATTCAATTGTACAATCTCTTCAATTCCGGCAGGGTTGATGACCTCTTTGTGCGCACTAGGACGGACAATCTTCGTGGGCATAGAATAGAACTCTTCGAACCGCGTGCCCGCGGTGACCCACAGGGTCATTTCTAATTTAGAATAGCCTCCCAGAGGAAGTAGTTGATGCCCCCTTAAGATCCGCATTCAAAAAGAATCTAGACCTGTATTTTGGTCCAATCCCTGAACGTTGAACACCTCCCTGCCTCATGGCGTTTTTCATATCTTGTTCAGTATTTTTTCCTGTACTTCCCAGTTTCTTGCACTATATCCAGATACTGCACACCTCTCCCCTCCTCTTACATCATTTTATGTGACCTTCTTGTACAAACAGGACGCAGACTCACTCTAACAACCTAACATCCCCCTCCCACCGAGAAGAAACCTTGTAAACTACTAAGATCCGGGACCATGGGGCCCAGCCTCACACCCGTGTAATACTTCAGGACTTCAAGGTGGTCCGGTGGACACAAAAGTGCTACTTTGAGCTAAACGCCACCAAGTATCGCGTTTTAAATACTGTAGGGCTTCCGGTCTGCGTGGCTACGACCACTGAACCGACGGTCTTCGCTCGCGTAGACCAAATGCTGAAGCTGGGAAATTTGGTCCGCGAAGACTTTAAAACCAGTGATCAANTGGCTGCCGCACAAAAAGTGAGGAGGCAATTCTTCCAGCTTAAGGCGACATTGTCGTCAAGGTAGGTTGAGGGTTTCCTACCTCTATATAAGGCGATATTTAGACCGCAATTAGAATACTGCGCGCAGGCTTGGGCACCCTGCTTGAAGAAGGATATTTGCATTGAGAGGGTCCAACGGTTAGCTACTAGGATGATCGCGGGGATGAGGGGTAAGTCATACAGGGAGAGGTTAGAATTCCTAGGGCTTTTCTCCATGAGGAGAAGACGCCTGAGAGGCGACATCATTGATACCTTCAAAATAATGAAGGGGCTCGAGGCGGACAGCCTGTTTACCCGAGCACCGCTCGAGTCAACATGGGGGCATCATCTAAAGCTAATGAAACTCAGGAGCCGACTCAACCTTAGACACAACGTCTTCGCGAGTGGAGTGCTAGATGAGTTGAACCAACTACCATCTTCACTACTAGATTGTAGGACAGTCGAGGAGTTCGAAAGGCAATTGGATGTGGTCTGGATCAGC